TGTGCTGAAGAAATCGTCATTAATTAGTAAACAATTGACCGGCTCTCAAGTAACCGGTTTGTTTTGCGATCGCACGGCGCAGTACGGAGTAGCGTCTATGCAATCGTTGCCCTCGAAATTCCGACATTTCTGCATTGTATAATGTCATAAAACACCATACTTGGTTGCGTTTTTATGGCTTTTAGGTGAATCAAAATGGATCAACAATAAGGTGTATGAACAGGGGGTGGGTGCATCACCAGCAAAGCTTCGAAAACAATCCCACCCGAACGGCTTTGAATGAAGACAGCACGACAATTGAAGGCATAAGGCACGACAATTTGGAGAAAATGGTGGCAGGGGTGCTGTATAGTGAGGAAAGGGGCGAAAAAGCGAAGCGAAACGGTCAAAACCTTGCAAAAAAGCCTTAGTTCTACACGACCCAGCAATTTCGGACGAGTTTCCCGTTGGCATCGTGCCAATAACCGCTACGGTAGATACGGCTGCACGTATGTGCTCATATATCCATGCAGCAGTGCAGCCGCTTCATATAAATCCCTTCGCATCAGCATCGGTCGGACATTGTGGGTGGACGGGCGTGGTGGGCGTCCGGGCCGGTATGTTGCGGCTTGATAGGGCGCTATAAGGGTACCTCCATAAGGAAAGGGCGCCACATTGCACCTGCTAAGGGGTGTCCAATTCTGCTCTGCTAGGCGTAATAATCCTACACGTGTTGGGCCTTTATGGTGCCACCTGTCTCTAAAAGTCGTATGGTAAAGCCTATAGGGCCGCATGGGCCATCAATAGCGTAATGGGCCAGAAATTCGTTCAAAAAGCAGGCGGTCAAGGTGTGACTCCCAGTGCCTTATTGGCTCTCACCGTCTCAGAACGAATGGTGCATTGGTGAAGAAGCCGCAGTGATTGACATTATTGGACTATACCGTCGGAGTTTCATTCGAAGGGGGATCTTCAATACAAGCGGTCTACTTTGACTGAAACTGAGGTGGGATCCTTAATCACGATCCCGCTTGGACCGAGTTCGAAACAATGGGAACTCAGGTTTGCGAGCCAATTTCACAATCTATTGGCATTTTTCAAACATCATGCTTTTCAGAAGTTTATAAGGAGAGTAACAGTTAACGAACTCATTACATCAAGTGGCAATATTAACTGTACTTTACTTCAGCAAATAATCACAGGCACCTAACCCCAGACGTTCTTACCCCAGACGGAGCAATTTCATTTCAAATGAGGATAGCAGAGGTACATAGTTAGGGTGGAAACACGTAATTGAACAAGGAATGTTAGTAATTTAATGAGGCTTGACTGCAGCGAAGAAGTTCCAGTTGTGATTATCGTCGGCGATGTATTGCAGTTTTGAATTCCAGCCGTTCACCAAAGAGTCGTACTCTTTCTGCGAAAATTTCTGAAATAAGAGTGTTGTGGGACTGTGGACTGATTGTCGGACTTATTAGCGTCTACCTCGAGGAACTCGTCCTTGTTTTGTTCGACCCGTTGTCTTTCCTCCAATAGAATCTCTTTGAATCTTGGCGTCATGTTCTCGGTTTCAATGTCGGTGAAGCCGGTTTTTTTCGCGATCTAAACTTATTTTATGAATTTGCTGACTTCCACCTTACTATCCTTATCTACCCCACCCCCGAACTCAGATTAACTCAGATCTCGCAACTTATTCGATCAACTATGCCACAAAGACTGTGTGTCGCCCTGTCCCTTCCAGCTCAGAGGTTCAATGCACGATGAATGGTAAGGCGAGTGTAATTACGTCCCAATATGAAGGGGAGATATGTCACGATTTTGCATGTGCTGAAGTGAAAGATTGCAAAAGACATGATGTATGACAACTTGGCTGCTTTCTCCGCCCATCTAACAACCGTGGAACGCGCCTACAAATTCACATGTTCAAGGGGTGTGTTAGGCAGTTTAGTGTGCCGCGGCGCCACAGTTCTCTGAGAGTTGCTGAAGCACGTATGTGACAAAAAATGGTAGAAACGAGTGATGGGACTAGCAATAATGTTGTCGTGTCACCTGCTCACTTCAACAACTGGTGGGGAACCGCGCCAACCTCATTCTGCCTTCCACGCCCGCTCCTAAGCAGGCGAACTTTACTGTATGTCGCGGCACCCAACGCTCCTTACCTCCTCAATTTGTTGCAGATTTCTTAGGTAATATTGCCTCTGTGAGACGTATTGTTTGAAGTGCTCGCTGAGAGTTCCGTGGCCAACACCATACATCGTTATAAGGACTTTGCCTCCGGGTTTCAGTGCACGCTGCAAAGAATCAGTGTGTTTTACAGTGGAAAAACGAGTAAAAAATACTCGGGGATTATGACCGTAAAAAAAACAACAATCATTTTTCACATTGGCGGACCAAAGCCCATGATTGAGTCCGACACCTGGATCGGCTGACTACTCTGAGCTGACTCGGCAGAAAGAGCTGTCTTCATGGCCGCCTTTACTGCATGTGCGCGGAGATAAGGTAATTTGCAGTGCGGCTTTCGTTGCTCCGCCGCCGCACGGATCTCCTGACCTCCACGCAGCACGACCTTCTGGCTTTTATCCAACACTCTATTTTCAGAGCTAAACATTTCCAGAAGTAGGTCTTCTCTGTTGAGGAAAATCAGGACGCTTTCTCTAAATGCAATGAATACAACTTTGAAATAAAGTGCTTTCTGCCAGTAGTATTTATGAATTTTTAGCTTACGTAGATCCTTTGAGAAGACTTTATCCGTGTCTTTGATTTATGGTTGGATGCTAGTCTCCGGAAAAGGACGGTAATCAAACGAACATCGGCTCGAATGTCGCTACTCGACGGGCCATCGCAGACTGCCGTAGCTGAAAATGGCAAGATTAGATGTGGCCCATTATTGGCGCTATTTTTCGATAAGGGGAACCGTCAAACGGCCGGACAACCCATGCCTACGAGCCAATAGTAAGCACTTGCTAGAATAATCCCCCATCCCTAAGGCACCCCCCACACTCTCTACGCGGCCTTACCGTATAAAGGTAAGGTTCGTAACATTTCTCAATTTGGTAAAAAATATTGGTAACTCGAAGGTATGATGTGCTGCAAATTGGTACAGAAGGCGAAGACTTACGTGACACGTGCGTCTTTTAAACCTTTTTGTTGAACACCGCATCCATGGTGCAACTCGCAAGCAATGTTAGTGGTAAGATCAATTCCTTAGCACTGTGAAGGGTCCAAATTCCCTAGAATTGCTTGTACAGTAATATTTATTCTACTTTATATGCACTTCTAGGTGCGCTACATTCCTTGATACCATAATCAGGTCGGGACTAAAAGAAGAGCGTTTTTGCATTTTTGTATATGTTTTTGCATTTTTGAATATGCTGCATTTTTTTGTTACATAAAATAGATAATAGTTCAACGAGGAGTCCTGTCTCATACAATGCTTGAAGAGTGCGAATCTTGAAGGCTCCATGCTATTTATCAAAGGTGTATCCCTTAGGATGACTCAACGGGGTCAGAGCTTTCCTTGTCCCCTTGTTATCAACAAACCTTTTTTGCCATCACCTCAGAAAGGGTAGAGTCTGACGTCACCGAATAGCGTACGATTGGGTCTGACACAGCCCCAGAAGCGGGCACGTCCAGCCAGCCATTCCGCGGGTGGGGGCGGGGAAATTGTCTTGCCCCGACAGAGGAACTCTTCTCCTCTAAATCCTATTTGTAATCTTCCTACACTTTCCACTCACAGTTTTTCTGAAAATCCATCGTTGGTTGAACGGGTGAGAAGATGGAGGCGGAAAAGCCAACTCGAAACCGTTTTCCTCAAAGGCATAGACGAACACCCTCCCTACAACGACCAACTATGACTCCCCCCCCCGTTCCTCGCCGCGGACCCCCAACGTACGACTTGCCCTGCCGCCTGTACCGTCAACCGGATCTGTGTGCTACTAACCATAAGCCATCATATAGCTCTCTTAAAATCACTAGAGTAAACATGAAACTGTGTCAAAATATTCTGCTCCATATGGTGAGTACCACATCTCCTTTTCCCTGATCGTTTACTCATTTGAAAACTCACACTAGCAGCTTGTCTAGCTCCGCCTCCAATTCCAACACCGATGTCCAGCATTTTTTGACCCGTCTTCATTGGCCCAAACCGTTTCAGGATGGCAAGGTTTTGATCCCAACCTCCTGAAAAATGGTTTTGACTGAAAGCCTTGTAAGATGAGTTCACACTCCAATGGAAGTCATGGCTCATCCCTAAATATTGACCAACTCTCTCTGCCTACTTTCTTTCCTTCATTGTTTGATTACTGGCGCAACCTCTTGCGTAAACTGACGAAATACTTGAATGACTATTTTCATCAGCAAAGGATAAAACTAGCGCCATTGGTCAGTTCCTTCTGGGATGCGACATGCATTCTAATTCCATTCAAAATCCTAGCGGAAGGCCACCTGGCCTACACAATGAGCTGCTGGAGTCAGCCAATGTCCAACTCTGTGACTTTCTCCTCTCAGACTAATCTGGCCCCAAGTAAGCGTCTCCGGATGGTGGGACGCTAGGTTGGCGCAGGCGGGTGCCGAGAGGATTCGAACCCTCGACAGGTATGCCACTTGCCACCAAACCTCCCCCGTTGTTACAAACTGTAGTAAATGAGTTGAGTGATCAGTTACTGAACCTCAAGGAGGCCAGAATCTTAGAAAGTTGACCTCCTGCTGCAATCCCATACACTTCTTAGACGGAGTAGGCGTAGCATTTGAAAATGGCATAGAATGGGGTACTCGGAGATGTTTCAGCATGAGACAACTGTTATCTTGTTCTGTGCTGGCCAGAGACAAGACCACAGTCTTAAGTAAAAATATCTTTCTAAAAGAACAACCA